TGGGCTTTCTGGATTTCCCAGCCCAGAATTCGCAACCCTAGCTGGGCTTTCTTAATTTCCCAGCCTGGAATTCACAACCCTAGCTGGGCTTTCCAGATTTCCCAGCCCGGAATTCGCAACCCTAGCTGGGCTTTCCGGATTTCCCAGCCCGGAATCCACAACCCTAGCTGGGCTTTCTGAATTTCCCAGCCCGGAATTCGCAACCCTAGCTGGGCTTGCCATTCCTCTGCTCAGGTTTGTCCTTCCACCTGTGCCCTTTCAGTGATGGCACCTGCCCTCTGGAAGAGACTGCTAGGCGTGCAGGAAAAGGTGCACGTTTGGTTTTAATGATGTTTGAGTTTCCTTTCCAAGAGGTATTACTGAACGTTGTATTTGGGGTGTGTTTTGTTGTTCTCCAAAGCTGTTTTTAATATTTCCTAGTTTTCCTTGCTTGGAGTGAATTTCTATCTCGGCTGTATTATTTTTTTGAGCAGACTGCACAGAAAAATTCAGAACATTGACTGTACTAAAGTACAGGTAGTAGAAGCACAGTTTATTATTTTTAAGCACCTTTTAAAAAGAGCACTTATCTATTGATTCTGCCCCTGGTGGGGTTTTTTTGGCCTAGTGCTTATTGGGGTACAAAAGTACTCATGCATTTCCCCCCAGAAACCACAGGTGCAGGGAAGCACTTGGATCCCCAAGCATCGAGAATAAATCCACGTTTCAAAGAAAGCAAAGTTTATTTCAAAGCATTGGAAAGGCACTCAAACACGTTCTTTGTTAGAACTGGGGACCAGCAGTTAGGGCAGACATGATAAAGGGATTCAAGTTAGATACAGAACCAATGGATAACGTTCCCGCCGGCGGGCAGGAGAAAACGGTTCCTTGCACAGATCTTGGGAACCAGGCAAACAGTAGACACAACACAGGTGCAGTTCTCAGGCTTGAGAAATAACAAGCTGGCAGCGAAGCATACTCTCCCCCTCACATCCTCCAGTTGTTTTACTTTGGCATTACAGCAGGCAAACACATAGGTCAGCTGGCAGGGACAGGGATCACATATGTACAACCAGAAGTCACACAGAACACCATGGCAGCTTGCTGACAGAAGCACTTGAAGGGTTCGGCAGGAAACAGCCCCCCCCCCCCAAATAACCGGGAGGATTCTCCCTGACAACCTGGAGAACGTTTACCTCACCACAGAGACAGAGCCGACTTTATAATAAATAAAGTATGCTTTTGAGGTAGAAAACACCTCAGATGCATGTTAGCAATTATTGTTAGATGTTTTCTTCTTTAAAACATTACAAACGTGTCCCATTCATGGGGTTCAATACATTAGTTTTTGTTGTTTCAAACGGAAAACAAAAATTATAGCTCTAGAAAGGAACGGTGCTGGTATGAGTTCTTCAGCAAGCCAAAGGGCAGGAGCAAATTCACTCAAAGGAAATATCAGGCCTTGTGTGAAAACGTGCTTCGTATTCTGACTGACACACAACACACACACACACACACAAAACAACAACTGAGGGAAACTTTTTTTTAAACTCCAAGAAACATACGATTGTCAATCTCCTGTGGGCGCCTGAAGAAGTCCCACTATTGCCTTTGCCCTCCAGACAACCTGGAGAAAATGGCTGCTTTGGGAGGCGGGCTCTCTATGACCCTGCTGAGCTCCCTCCCCTCCCCAGACCTCCCCCCCCCCAAATCTCCAGGTATTTCCCAACCCAGAGCTGGCAAGTCTGAAAAAAAAACCCACTAGAAATCTGTCTTAAGGTAGAAATACACCTCAGAATAAAAGTGTCCCAAGTTTTTCAGAATGTAACTTATTTTCTCCCCGTCGCCTTTACCAGTACCCACTTGAGGTCTCTTTGGCCTTTCAAATGTCAACTAAATTTTCCAAGACGTTGCCCTTTCCATTACAAAATGAATGGCTACACTTTTGCTCTTTTTTTTTTCTTTGATAATCCTTTCTCCTGCTCAGAGAGAGACGTCATGGACTCCTTTTGCTTCCTGTAGACACGAAACACTGCCCTTTTTATTTCTTAGCGCCAGCTGGTCTGATTTCTTGGGTTCCTACTTGCTATTCCTGTATTTCCTACTTTCCTCCACTATTAAGTTACGCATTTGATTAGCCTCTTCGTACATTTTTGGCCCTTTCTGTTTATAGCTTCATATACTAGCACTCAGCTCTTCAGGGGCCTCTTCACAGCTCCTCGGCCTTACAACACATTCAGGGAAAGTACATTTTTCCTGCCATCTTCAGTGGTCACACCAGAAAGTTCACTCACTGGCATGCAAGTCCCCTGACTCAGATTATGCGTATGGGACACTGTGGAGACTCCTATAACGCAGGGCAAGGCAGTGGCACTGTGCAGAATGTATCCAGCGTGATACAGAGGTAGAGGAAGGGTGCTGGGTGATAAGGACTGTATACTATCTCTTAGCCTCAGCGTTCAGAGGGGGCTACGATAGAGTCAGATGAGCTCAGGGCGCTCTGACCATTCTGTTCTTCCTCTCTCTGACATTATCCCTTTGAAACAGAATGCTATTCTTAGGGGGAAAGACTTCCTTTCTTCCATTCCACTGAGAGCCAGTTTGGTGTAGTGGTTACGTGTGCGGGCTCTAATCTGGGAGAACTGGGTTTGATTCCCCAGTCTTCCACATGCAGCTGCTGGCGTGACCTTGGGTCAGTCACAAGTTCTTTCAGAGCTGCTCTCTCAAGAGCAGTTCTCTGAGAGCTCTCTCAGTCCCACCTACCTCACAGGGTGCTGTTGTGGGGTGAGGAAGGGAAGAAGATTTTAAACCACTCCTTCGGCTAGTGAAGGGCGGGGTAGAAATCCAATCTCTTTTTCCTCTTCTTCTTTGTCTTCTTCCTCCTCTTCTTCTTCTACCTTCTCTCACATGCATACTTTTTGCCAGATCTCTCCATCTTGGTATCATGGATGCAGGACATACATCCTGCATCTGCATCCATCCTAGCTAGTTAGATGAGGCTACTATCCTGCCACTACTCTTTTCTGTCTAGAATGGAGTTCTCTCCATAAAGGAACTCAGTTTGCAAATATAAAAGAGGCTCCATGTAACTTTGTTTTCTTATCAGCCCAGACACACAGAGACTGGAGACGCTTTGCCGCGTAGTAAGACTTTTGCACTCTGCTAACTTTGCTAAAAATTCCTGGTTATACCAAACTAGACAATCTAACAAAGGGGTCATGAGGTTTTCGAGGCCAGAGATGAACAGAAGCTGTAGGCATTGCCTGCCTCTCTCAAGACTCAAGAGCAGTCCTCGGGAGAGCTCTCTCAGCCCCACCTACCTCACAGGGTGTCTGTTGTGGGGAGGGGAAGGAAAAGGAGTCTGTAAACCGCTCTGAGACGCCGAGTGAAGGGCGGGATAGGAATACAATCTCTTCTTCTTCTTTCTGGGGGAACACGCCAGAACAGAGCTCCAGAACCTCTTCAACAAAGTTCTTTTAAAAATGTGTAAAAGTTCATGATTTTTCAGTACACAGATTGAGAAGAAGAAGAGAAGGGATTGGATTTATACCCCGCCCTTTACTACTCAAGGGAGTCTCAGAGCAGTTTACAAACTCCTTTCCCTTCCCACAATAGACACCCTGTGAGGTGGGTGGGGCTGAGAGTGCTCTTTCGAGGACTGCTCTTGAGAGAAGAAGAAGAGATTGGATTTATACCCCTCCCTTCACTACCCGAGGGTGTCTCAGAGTGGCTTACAAACTCCTTCCCCTCCCC